GAGGCTGAGGCAAGAGAATCACCTAAGCCCAAGAGCTAGAGGTTGCTGTGAGCTGTGACACAACAGCACTCTACCAAGGGTGACAAAGTCTTTTAAAAAAGTGTTTTCCAATAGCTGGGCATTGTGGTAGGTGCCTGTAGTCCCAGCTACTTGGGAGGCTGAGGCAAGACAATCGCTTAAGCCCAAGAGTTAGAGGTTGCTGTGAGCTGTGATGTTATGGCACTCTATCGAGGGTGACATAGACTCTGTCTCAAAAAAAAAAAAAAGTGTTTTCCAAATCTGTTTTAAATCGTTTCTCTGTCAATTTACTGAAATTTAGGATGTATCACTTAAAACCATCCTTAAAATTGAAACTTGGCTTCAGAGACTAGCCTATAAGAGGTAGAGGAGAGATGAAATGTTTTGAGTACAAATTATCATATTTTATTTACAGATGTAAAAACAGAAACAGTTTTTAGCAAAGGCTGGATAGTTGAGCAGTAATACAGAGTCCTCAGGGAAGGTTAAGAAACCAGTTGCAATCCCTGCAGCCTGCACCAGGGGGCTCATCCACACTCAGACCCAGGTGAAGACATGGCCCTAAATTTCTCCTCCAGCTGGGAAGTGTCACTTCTAGGTTCTTTTGAGGTTGAAGAACCAAGAAAAAAAAAAAGCAGCAGTCCAGGTCAGCGCCTGTAGCTCAAGCGGCTAGGGTGCCAGCCATATACAGCGGAGCTGGCCAGTTTGAATCCAGCCTAGGCCTGCTAAACAACGACAACTACAACCAAAAAATAGCCGGGTGTTGTGGCAGGCACCTGTAGTCCCAGCTACTTGGGAGGCTGAGGCAAGAGCATCACTTAAGCCCAAGAGTTTGAGGTTGCTGTGACTCTACGGCACTCTACCCAGGGTGACAGCTTGAGACTATGTCTCAAAAAAAAAAAAAAAAGAAGCAGCCCAATTTTTCTAGCCTCTGGTAAACAGAAATGATTTTCTAGAAGTTTTCTTTAAAAGTTTTCTGAAATTTCTTTAGAAGATGATGGTCAGTCATCAGAGGTGCTACTATCAATGAGAGTTGTGAATATTAGGAGTCTGTTACCCTCTTGGCTGCGCAAGGCTAACATTGAAGAAGGCCTTAGAGGAGCACCTGCCAGTGGGTTCCCCGGGCTATACTCATAGTTGTTAAGGAAGAACAACAGGCAGTAAGGATCGTGAGGTTCTGATTCCATCCAGGTGGTGTGGTGGTGACAGATTTCCTTCTGGTCTCTTCCAGAATATTCTTTGGTACTTTTTTTCTTTTTTAGTCATGATAATGAAAAACTTAAGTCTTAGACTGCCTCTCAGTTTTGAGTTCCCACCCTCTCCTCCCTGCTACTGACCACTCTGGGCTAAGTCCCTCCCAAGCTGGCGCTGACCACCAAGCAGAAATGCTGCAGGTCCCTGCAGGCATGTGCACCCCTGCCCCTTGAGATTCTCCATGAATCAGAATCACCACCACCCTGTTCTGTTCACTCTGACCCTCCTTCATACTAGGAGGTCTGCAGAGACGGGACTCAGGCTCAGAGAAGTGGAGTGAGCTGCCCTAACTCACGCAGCATGGGAGCCGGCACAGCCATGCCCTGGTCCTGCTGGGTCTCTGTGTCTCTAGGTCTCCCAGTCCTAACTAGTGATTCCCAGTCACCAGCCAGTGCCTCCCTGGACACTGAGCGTCCTGGGGGTGGTAGATGAGTCAACTCCACCTGTGGGCCTTCTCCACAGGTGTGTGGAGATGCTGATCAAGGAGCAGATGAGGAAATACAAAGTGAAGATGGAGGAGATCAGTCAACTGGAGGCAGCAGAAAGCATTGCCTTCCGCAGGCTTTCCCTGCTAAGGCAAAATGCTGTGAGTATGGATTAGAGTGGAGGAGGGGCTTTGCAGGTGGGAGGGGTTGTGGGCCAGGGCTTGGTGGGATGGAAGGGCCTTGGGTGTGGTCATGTGGGGTTAGGGGCCTCAGCTGGCAAGGGCAGAGAGGGTGGTGAGTGGGGTCTCACTTTCCAGTTCCTCACCTACTCACAGCACACTGTTGGCCACAGGTAGGGGCAATTTGCCCTTAACCAAAACCCAGTCTGCTCAGCCTCACTCCAATTGTTCCTCTAGGTGGGGAAGGTAGGGGACATGTCACCCACTTGGTGGTCGTTCAGGTCATTAGTATAGCCTTGTTCTTTACTGATCCAGGCCCCACCCACAGGAAAATAACCCCATAGCAGAAGTAGTCATATAGTGGGAGGCAGATCCTAGACTCCTGGGAGAACCAGGGAACCCCCTTTGTGCTGATTGTCAGATGTGCCCCCCAATCACTGCTGTGTCTGTCTCCTCCTCTGTGGTCACCCAGTGTTCATCTCTCTCCCAGCCATGGCCTCTCAAACTGGGCTTTTCATCTCCCTATGAGGGGGTCCTGGTATGTACACAGCCAGCGGCCGGTGCATGTCTCCTAGTACGGCACATGCTGGCTTCCCTCAGCCCCTGGGTTCTCTAAGATAACATGAGCATGTCCTAACCTTCAGGAAGTGCATGCTGGGGGAGGCCCCTTGCCCACTGACTGAATATGCTGAGGACAACTAATCACCCAAGCTCCTGCCATCTGTCCCCATGGGATTCCTGGATATGTCCCACTAAGAGCCCAGCATGTTTACACCAGAACTAACCTCACAACCAGGTGCACCAACCTCCTCCTTCCTAGAGGTGCCAATGATACCGGCTGCTTTTGTTTCAGAGCAAGGGCCCCAAGGCCCAGGGAAGCCAGGGCAGCAGCCTGGAGGAGCTGGAGGTACTGCCAGAAGAGGAGGCAGCCAGTGGCGATGAGGACCGAGAGAAGGAGATCCTCATCGAGCGGATCCAGTCCATCAAGGAGGAGAAGCAAGTGTCCCTCTGTCCCCTGCCTTCTCTCAACTCTTGCCATTCAGTCCCCATGCACTGCCCTGCCCCACAGGCAGATTCAGTCCTTGGTGGTCCTGTTGTCCCTAACATAGACTGACAGTACTTAATGGGACCTTGCTGTCAACCATGTGCTCTGTTTAAACCTCATGCCTAACCACACAGGACCCCAGTGGCCCACAGAGAATAGTGGGTAACCAGGAGGCAGTGCGCCAACTTTGTCTTGAAGGTGGTCTTAACTAGGGTGCTGTTATGTCATGCTGTGAGTGTGAAGGGAGCCCTTATAAAAATAAATGCAAGCTGGGCATGGCAGTACACATCTGTGATCCCAGCTAGATCCTGCCTCTACAAAAATATTTAAATTAGCTAGGCATGGTAGCGTGCTTCTATGGTATTCAAGAGGCTAGGGCAGGAGGATCACAAGCCCAGGAGTATGCAGTTACAGTGAGCTATGATCATGCCACTGTACTCCAGCCTGGGTAACAGAACAATTTTGACTCTAAAAAAATAGTAATAATAATGCCAGAACTTGCGTGACCTGGTTCCTTGGCCACCTTAGTCTTAGGAGCAGTGGAGAATGTTTCTAGCAGAGGGAATGGCACATGCAAAGGGCCTGAAGCCCGAGCATGTCAGTAACTCAGGTTTGGGCCGTATGCCAGGGCTGCCCTCAGCAGCCTGATACTCTTACCTGATGAGCTTCAGAGGACCCCAGGAGATTTTAGGCCAGATATGCTTGGGTTTGAAGGAGGGTGGTAACAGGGAGTCACCTTTAGAATAGCCTGATGTGTCCCATACCAGCCTGGCACTTTCTGAGGAGTGGCCTTGGACACTTAAGACCCTCTTCCCTCTCCAGGGAGGACATCACCTACCGGCTTCCAGAGCTGGACCCAAGGGGCTCTGACGAGGAGAACTTGGACTCAGAGACCTCAGCCAGCACCGAGAGCCTACTGGAGGAGCGGACTGGGCGGGGGGCCTTGGAAGGTCAGTATTAAGGTAGTGTCTGCTTTTCTCCATCCTGTCCACCCCTGGCAGGCCCTGGGGTGAGGGTCTGACTGCCAGCCCTGAAGCTGCAGTAACCCTGCCATCTATCTCTCAAAAGGGCCCCCCACGCCTACTCTCCCCTACCCCAGCGCACCCACCCCGAACCCCCTCCCCACGGTGGCCGCCCCTCCACGACGAAGGCCTTCGTCCTTCGTAACGGTCAGAGTGAAGACCCCCCGGCGGACCCCCATCATGCCCACGGCCAACATCAAGCTCCCGCCGGGCCTACCTTCCCACCTGCCCAGGTGGGCACCAGGTGCCCGGGAGGCTTTTGCCCCAGTGAGACGCCGAGAGCCACCTGCCCGCCGTCCGGACCAGGTACATTCCGTCTACATCACACCAGTAGCAGACCTGCCCATACAGGCTGCTCTAGAGACCCTGGACGAGGACGGCCAGCCACCTGGGAACAAGCGGAGATATTCAGACCCCCCAATGTACTGCCTGCCCCCCACCTCAGGCCAGGCCAATGGCTGAAGGCCTGTGGCTACTGGAGTCAATATGTCTGAGGACAGCCCTTGTGCCAGACCTGTCATGGCAATCATTCGGCTGAAAAGAATCCAGAACAAAAGTTCAAAGAACCACTAGAGGTGGGCACCAGCTCCAAGTAAAGAGTCAAGGCAGGGAGCCACCAGCTAGGTCTAGGCCACTCTCGGCACAAGCCTCCCAAGGCATCGCCAGGCCCCCAGGAGCACTAGGTCTCAGCAGGCAGCCCCTCATCTCTTCCCTTACCTTTTGTACGTTTTTACATTAACTGTTTATGTACATGGTTTACATTACTTTAAACTGTTAACAGCCTTAACAGAAGACCAAATCGTTTTTTATATGTGTATAAAACTTTTCTATTAACGCTGTGTATCTCCCTTGTAATCTGGACATGGGTCATCAGAGCAGAGGCCACTTAGCCACTGCACTTCTGGAGCTCAGACTCGCACTTCAATCAGCGTTAAGGGTGATCGGCATGCCCAGGCCTTCCATTAGTGTTTTGGACACTTGGGGCATCTGAGCACCAAGGCTGTTTCCAACTCATGCCTCCAGCGGGCAGCCACTTGGCCAATGTGCATTCAGGGGAATGTTGGAGACTTCTATGGGGGTCAAGGCTGTTGGCTGGATCCAGGACATGAGTCAGGAGCGGCCTCCACCTTGGGCACACAGACTGCAAGTACCAAGGAGACCTGAATATGGCCATCACTTTTCTGTACACCAGGAGCTTGAGAAGGCTGCCCTTCACACTACCCGCCCATGTGACAGTACAAGAGTCAATGACTTCAGGTCTGCTCATGGTCAGGGAGGACAAGGGCTGATGTTGGACATACCCTTCAGTCAACTGTGACAGCCTGGGGCTTTCCAGAATGGGGACCTCCTTTCCCATGCTCAGCCCACTTGGCAGACACTTGAACACACGCCACAAGGCTGGGACCAGGGAATGCCCCACACAATGTGTGAAAATAAAAAAGTTCCTGCGATGTGTATGCATGGAATTTCTGCTCAGACCTCCTCAGGGTTGGAAGAGCAGGGCTGATGGGTAGGAGTCAGCCCTGTGGCCTTAGCCAAGAGAGGTAGAGGGTGGGGATTATACCCATCTGGGAGGACCTGCCTTGATCCTCCAGCAAACACTGCTGTTGGAAATTTCCCACAGATGAGAGATGGGCTGACTTGCAATGCTTATTTATTTTTAGAGACAGAGTCTCACTTTGTTACCCTCAATAGGGTGCTGTAGCATCACAGTTCACAGCAACCTGAGTGCCGTGGCATCACAACTCACAGCAACCTCCAACTCTTGGACTTAGGTGATTCTCTTGCCTCAGCCTCCCGAGTAGCTGGGACTACAGGCGCCCGCCACAACACCTGGCTACTTTTTTGTTGCAGTTTGGCCGGGGCAGGGGCTGGCTTCAAACCCGCCACCCTCAGTATATGGGGCTGGCACCCTGCTCACTCTGCCACAGGTGCCACCCGTAATATATTTCTTTTTTTGCAATTTTTTTTTTCCTTTTTGGCCAGGGCTGGGTTTGAATCTACCACCTTTGATAAATGGGGCCGGTGTCCTACTCCTTGAGCCACAGGTGCTACCCTGAGGTGCTTATTTATTAATCAGGAAAGCTTGGGGAGCCCAGATCTCCCCACATAGTCTTACTCTGTGGGGAAGGCCTGCTGTTCTGGGAGCCTTCTCCTGTCTCCTTGATTCAGCACCCAGCCTCTACCCAGATGAGCTTAAATGTCAGCTGCCGGGGCCATCTACCCTGCAGCAGAGCCAGGTCCTGGTGGGTCTGGCAGATGCAGAAGCCACCACCCCACAGAAGGGTTCCAAAGGTGCAATCAGATGGGCAGGTATGGGAATTGGCTAGCAGGTGGAAGATGAGGGACAAGTCCAAATTGCACTTGCCTGGGATTGGTGGTGGGGAGGCCACTTGTCCACAGCCACACTGCTGAAGAGGCTGGGATTCAGACTCTGCCCTGTCAGCCTCTGAGGCCCCACTTGTGGGTCCTGGTATGGTCTCTGTGATATTTTGTGAGGACACCAGGGCCACCAGTGTAAGGGCTGCATGCCAGGTCCTGGTCCCCATGAAGTACCCACTCCCCACTCTGTTCACTCCAGAAGACTGGCACTGTACGCCTGGGAGACCCAGGCGATGGACTGGGACTAGGTTCTCAAAATGCAAATCTCAGTACTTGCAGTAACCCAGCCCCACTTCTCCCAGGACTGGCTCCGGGCTCCCTTAAGGGAGGCACCGTCACACTGTCCACTTCCTAAGGGAGCAGAGAAATGTTAACCTTACCTAAGGCCATGGCCAAGGACAGAGTCAAGAGTCAGGGCTAGGACCCAAAATCTTATAAATGAACTATAGATGAGCCCCTGTGACAGATAAAGCTGAGTTGGGGAAAGCCCTGAACCCGAAGTGCCAGGTCAGGGCCTTTCCCCCAAGGGAAATCAGGAAGACTGCTGAGAGGAAAATGAACTCAGCGTGAAAAGAATCCACACAGGGCTCAGCGCCCATAGCATAGTGGTTACGATGACGGCCACATATTCCAAGGCTGGTGGGTTTGAACCCAGCCCAGGCCAGCTAAACAACAATGACAACTACAACTAAAAAATAGCAGGCATTGTGTTGGGCACCTACAGTCCCAGCTACTTAGGAGGCTGAGGCAAAAGAATCACTTAAGCCCAAGAGTTGGAGGTTGCTGTGAGCTATAACACCACAGCACTCTACTGAGGGTGATGTGGTGAGACTTCGTCTCAAAAAGGAAAAACAAAAAAACAGAATCCAGGCAGCAGTGAGTGTGAAGTAGGCATTTTGAGCAGGTAAACCTAAATAAACAGGCTGGTTGACCCTCTGACAGCAGAGGACCTAATCCTTCCAACTTTCCCAGGGGTTAAAAAGCTCTAAGGGAAAAAGCAAGTAATTCAGCCCAGAGAAATGCGGATATAATGGCATTGCTCTTTTTTTTCTTTTTTTGGAGACTGTCACCCTGAATAGAGTGTGGTGGCATCACAGCTCACAGCAACCTCAAACCCTTGGAGGTCAAGCCTTTTGCCTCAGCCTCTGGAGTAGCTGGGACTACAGGAGCCCATCACAACACACGGCTTATTTTTCATTCTTTTTTTTGTTATTTTCTCTATACATATACATGTGTTTATTTGGTTTCCACTTTTTACCTTCACAAAATTAAAAAAGCTAAAAATTTAATAACAGTAACAATGTTTAAGATAAGGACTAGAAACAAAAACCTCATAGAGAACGAAGATAAATACATTCAGAAAAGCAATCAGACAACTGCTGCAACGAAATATTGAGCAGTAATAATAATAATGCAAAAAAAGTAATTCACATTGTCAAAGTATGTCCATCATAGAATGCTTTGTTTTTTGAAATTATCTTCTATTTTTATAGGTTTTTTTTTTTTTTTTT